TTAAATAAAAACTTCAGTGGAAAGTCTTATCAATAGAGTGGATAATGTGGAAGAGAGAAAATCAGGGTATGAAAACAAAATATAGAAATTAGAACATGACTGGGTGGTGGTGCCCACTTTAATCTCAGTGCTCAGGAGGCAGAGGCAGATGTATCTCTGTGAGTTCAAGACCAGCCTGATCTATAAAGCAAGTTCTAGGACCTCCAGGACTACACAGAGAAATCCTGTCTCAAAACCCGCCCCCAAAAGAAATTAGACCATTTAGTCAAGGTCAATGATATTTTGTTACATGTATGAATGGAACATGCAAGAACTCTGGGACCTCATGAAACAACAAAAGCTATGTATCCTAGGCATACAAGTATGAGAAATGTTTCAAGTAGAAGACACAGAAAATGTCTTTAATAAAATCATGGGAGACAATTTCCCAAATATAAGGAAGCTCAGATACAAGAGGCACACAGAACACCAAAACAGAGAGCACCAAAATAAAAACTCCTCACATTATATTATATGGAAACCCATTAAATATAGAAAACAAAGAAAATACATAGAAAATTGCAAAAGAGAAGGGCCAGGTCACATACAAGGCCAGGCCCATAAATAACTGCTGACTTTTCAGTCTACATCATGAAAGCAAGAAGGGCTTGAACTCATATCTTTCAAACTCTTAAAGAACACAAATACTAGCCCTGTCTAATATTCCTGGCAAAACTATCTGTCATAATTGGAAATGAAAGAAAAACTTCCCATGACAAAAGCAGGCTAAGAGAATTCATGACTCCCAAGCCAGCCCTACAGTGGATACCCAGACAGAGAGACCTCAGTCTGAAGAGAAAGACAAACACACTCAAAGGACTAGAGTAGAAAAACTAAAAGATACTATGACACTCACTAAACAAAAGAAGACTAATTTACTCGTCCAAGTTTGTAAAACAACACAACCATATTTAAAATCACAGATGATCCCAACTGAGCGATAGAGGGGACCTCACCACACAATTCTCACCATTAGACAGAGCACTTGTACAAAACAACTGAATAAACACTGGAATTAAATACTGGAATTAACCTAACAGATAACTATAGAAAATTCTACCCAAACACCAAAGAACACACAATCTTCTCAAGATCCCAAGGAACCTTCTCTAGGACAGCGCATACATCACAAAGCAAAGCAAGTCTCAACAAAAATAGGAAAACTTAAACAGCTCCCTGCATCTATCTAACCATAATGGAATAAAGCTAGAAATCAACAGGAAAAAGAAACTATACAAACTCTTAAACAACACACTAGTATTGAGTGAGGAGCGGGTCACCACAGAATTCAAGAAGGAAAATGTAAAAAACCCTAGAATTAACTGATAATGAAAATAGAACATGTCCAGATCAATGGGATTAAGAAAAAGTCCCAAGAAAGAAATTTATAGCTCTAAGTGCCTCTGTTTAAAAATAGGAGAGATCTTAAATAAGCAACCTGCAATGAACTCCAAGACAAGGGAAAACAATAACAAATTTATCCCCAAGTAGGAGATCGAGAGGAACAATGCACATCAGGGCAGAAACCAGTGAAATGGAATGGGAAACAAAATCAATATCATCAATGCTACCCAGATATGTATTCTGTGAGCTACAATAATGATTAGTGAGGCAAGGTCTGCCATTAGTGCAATAATGGCACAAATCCTAAGGACCAAACAATCACTTTCTGATTGGATTTAAGACTGTCTTCTTAGAAGGGAACACATTCTAGGTACACATTCTAGGTAATATAAATCTGTCCAAGAACCCATGTGTTTTAGTTAGGGTTTTTATTGCTGTGAAGAGACACCATGACCACAGCAACTTTTATAAAGAAAAACATTTAGTTTGGTTGATTACAGTTCAGAGGTTCAGGCAGCATTCAGGCAGACATGGTGCTGGAGAAGGAGCTGAGAGTTCTACATCCTTGATCCTCAGGCAACAGGAAGTGAACTGAACTAGGCATAGCTTGAGCATAGGAGACCTCAAAGCCTGACCCCAAAGTGACATAGTTCCTCCAACAAGACAACACCTATGATGGGGGAAGTCCTGTGTATATGTTTGTCTTATTGGTTAATAAATAAAACACTGTTGGCCAATAGAGAAGCAAGATAGGAGGGACTAGGAAAGAAGGATGATTCTGGGAAATGTAGTAAAGACAGGAGTCGCCATGTGATCCCGGGAAGATGGGACACTAAGGCTGGTGTCCTCGATAAGATAAGTCTTTATAAAATATATAGTTTAATATTTTTGGTTGTGAGCCTACCCTTTAATGGCTGAGCCATCTCTCCAGCCCATGTATGAATTTTAGACATAGAGCAAAGGATTACCAGCCTACAATCCTCTTCACCAAAGAAACTAGGAAACAAGAAGGACTCTAAGGGAAAAATGCATGGACCCCAGGAATGGGAAGGGGCAGGAACTCCTGAGCTAATTGGCAGCATGAGGGTAGGGGAGAGGGAGCTGCCAGAATGAGAGGAGGAGAAGAGGAGAGGAGAGGAGGAAATGGAGGAGCAGAAATATTGAGTTGGGGGACAAATAGAGGAGAGCAGGAGGAGAGATACTGTATTAGAGGGAGCCATTATAGGTCCGAGGAGAGATCTGGCACTAGGGAGATTTCCAGAGACCTACAAGGATGACACCAACTGACAATCTAGGCAATGATGGAGAGAATAACCTAAATGTCCTTCCCCTATAATGAGACTGATGACTACTTTTTATGCCATCCTAGAGCTCTCATCCAGTGGCTGATGGAAGCAGAGGCAGACACCCACAGATATACACTGAACTGAACTCTGGAACTTAGTTGCAGAGAGGGAAGAATGAAGATCAAAGGGGTCTGTACCAGGCTGGTGAAACCCACAGAAACAGCTGGCCTGTACAAGGGGGAGCACATGGACCCCAGACTGCTGTCTGGGAGGCCAGTACAGGACTGATCCAGACCCCTGAACATGGATGTCAATTAGGAGGACTCTGCACTCTATGGGGCCCCTGGTAGTGGATTAATATTTTTCCCTGGTGTAAGAAGGGACTTTGAGAGCCCATCCCAAGTGAAGGGATACACTCTCGGCCTGGACACCACATGGGGGGAGGGCCTAGGCCTGGCCCAGGATGATGTGGTAGACTTTGGGGAGCCCCCATCGAGGGCCCTACCCTGCCTGGAGACGGGATTGACATGTGAAGCAAGCTTGTTCCTAATTTGAACTAATAAAAAATTTAAAAATATATATATAGAGAGATTAATAGTTATGGTTGATAATTAAGACTGAGCTAGCATATAAGAAATTCTAATCATTGGCCAGCAGTATTGTACCTAATATTAATCTCTCTGTGTTATTTTGGGCACGCATGTGTTGGCAGGGCTCGGGCGGCTTGGCGGAAAAATTTATTGTTACACACGTACTTCAATAAGGCCACAACTTCTAATAGTAACACTCGCAATGAGCTTATGTGGGACAATAACATTCACACTACCACATCATGGATGAGAGCTCATAGTCCCCAGGACTGAACATACTGAGATATGTCATCTTCTGAGGATAGAGAGTTCAAGAACAGCCTGCAGCTACACAGTGAGTTTCAGACCAGCCTGGGTTACAAAGTGAAAATGCTGTATCATGAATCCAAATCCAAAACAGAACCCAATCCTTCCCACTTCCATATATGCCCATCATAGGAAGTAGGTATTGGGAAGCAGAAGATGAATAAAAAAAAAAGAAAAAGAAAGAAAAAGAAAGGTAAGACAAGGAAAATGAATGGAAAAAGTCAAGAGAGATACAGTGAGCTAAAGAATGTTAATTACAAAGACATGAACGGGGGTTGAAGAGACAGCTCTTCAGTTAAGCCCTTCCTCCACAGTCTAGAGGACTGGATTTCAGACCTCAGTATCCTCAAAAATAGGGTTACAGAACTACAGCTCTAAAAGGGGCAGAGATAATAGGACCACCAGGGTAGGCTGGTTTCTAACATAGTCAAGAAAATGAAAGAGCACATTTCAAAGTCAGAGAGTGGCAGAGGAGAACATCAGATGCTCCCTTCTAGACTCCGCACATGTGCACACAGACATGTGTGCGCACATATGCATATGTGTGCGTATACATTTCCACAATAAACAAACAAACAAACAAACAGGAGACAAGTATGATGGGAAAGAAAAGACTAGACAAGAAAGAAAGGGATGAGCACAGGGTCACTCACATACATGGTACAGAGACAGCTTGATTTATGTGGTGAGATAGTATCACAAAGGACAGGAGGGAAGGAAAGAGAACACACACACACACACACACACACACACACACACACACACATACACACACACACATTTTTCTGAAAGGTAAGAGTTTTGTGATACACACTAGACCATGACAACTTTTTTCCAGTCCTTTGCTGGATAAAACCACAAGCCAGGAGCTGCCGCCTCTTGTTTGCTAGACAATGAAGGCTGTTACATTTTCTGTTGTGTCCCCAACAAAAGAATACTGTAAAAAAAACAAATAAGGCATATTTTTGCATTTTTTGATGTTTCATGTATTAAGAAAAAAAGCAAAGTGTAAGTCACTTTCCCCTGGGATTTGTTTGAGAGATGCCCTGAAACTCACATGGGCATGTTTAACTAATCAGTATTACAAATCTGAATCTTTACTTATGCAAAAGTCAAAGTAGGTAAACTCATAATTCCTTCTATATAAAATGTTCTATTTTAATACTAATGAAGTGTGGCTCCCTTTAACATCTGGATTTGTGAAAGGCACACTCACAAGGTTGATTCAAAGAGGAAGTTAGTGCACCAGCTTCCTTACAGTATATTCACACCACTAGAGAATCACCCTCTGCCACGTTAGCTCAGTAGAGGAAATAAATGACAGTTCTGAGCGCTTCTTTTACTTATTAAACAACCACACCCAAGTCTTATTGTGCAGTAGCAAACTCTTCAGTTTCTCAAAAAAAAAAAACAAGAGATATCATAGGCACAAGGCTTGTTACAAATTATGTCCACATTATTGTTTGACCGTTAGATGCTTTATTAAACTTGATACATTTACTACATAAGAAATCTGTGAAAAAGGGGGCTATCAAATTATTTTACATCGAGATCCCTGCATTATATAGTCATTATATATTTGTCATCTTGCTATATCCCCTATCTATAAGCACTCATGACTAAGGGTAGCAACAGTTTTCCTGGGAAGAAAAGACAAATCTTGTCTTTCAGATGACCCATCTGTGATATTCCAAGTTCTCCCAGCACAATCAAAAGCTCTGTCCCCATCTCCACGAAGTCACCTCCAGGGGTGAGCTTGGCACAGCACCAGGTAGGAGCACAATGTCCACACAGGGTTGGCCTCAGAAAGGGTGTCTTCCTTCCATCTAGTTAGCTTGACTCTGACTATTCCAAAACTCCTTGGAGGGCTGCAACTTCTGGTAAGAGGAAAGAGAGAGGGGGTGGGTTTGAATACCAACAGAATCAGGAAAACTGCCCAGTCACCCACACCAAGATGTAGATGGTAGAAAACAGTAGTTTTGCAAAATGCACTCCAACAAGTCAGAAGCAGACTAGAGTGTCACTGCTTCTGGCATTAATTCCCTCACCAGGCACGGGGGTCTCTGCAATGAGGTGCTTGTGGTTGGTAAACAGTTCTGCGGACTCTTCTGGTGATCTTTCCTCTGTGTCTGACTCTGGGATTGGAGTACAGCCACCTAAATGAAAAGCACAAACAGTATTTTAAGCAGCTGCTAAGGAAATCTGCCTGTCCACACAGTGACCACAGCTTAGAAGTACACCGCACATAACAACAAGAAGTGACCAGACAAAGATTATCAAGAGAGAACCAAAAACATTATCTTAAATGTCTTGTTTTATTGAAAGTCCTGGGAATGCCTTGTTGACATTGAAGATGTGGTCATGTGCTTGGAGCTTGGCAGCAGTGACAATGCAGGCATCATCCTTCAGATTTCCTTGTTTGGTCAGAAAGGGCAAAACCTCTATCAAATACAACACCCACAGCATAAAAACCTTTCCGCAGAAATTCTCTTCCAGACACACCATCAGAAATTATGAAATACACAGAATATATACTGGAAGAGAAAGAGCATTCCCTCCTGTGTGGAGGAAGGCTACTGGTGTTCTATGACTATGGTGGGCTTCTCTAGACCTGATTCTCTCCCTGAACCCTGCGCCTTATAGGACAGACACCTCTGCTTTAGGATGCAACAGAAAAGCCAAGGGACTGCCTTGTGGAACATCTAGATACAAAAATGATTCCAGGATGAGCTGTGTCTCAAAGCCTGGGTACATACCACTTCACTGTAACCATCAAAATCTTGTATGGGAACCTCAAATCCAAGTGTGAGCATCCTGACTCCTTTAGCCGTGTGTTCTATTTTGCTATTGCTTCCTGTAAGTGGGCTAGCATGCAGTGTAGTGTACAGATTTTTTCCAAAGCCTTTCTTCTCCTTAACGAAGTGTGATTTCTTTTCTTCTGAGTCCTCTCACACACTCAGTCCAAAGCCTTGACACTTAAGTTTGGTTTTCTGTGTGAGAAGTTTTATGAAGCTCATGACATTTTGAGAAACGAGTGTGGACAGCTACCTTCACATAACTGTAGAGGCGGGGGCACAGGCAAACTCCATCTCTGAAGGGAATGCACCTTGCTACCCACACCCCTGCATCTTCACTGAGAAATAAATTGGAGAGGGAAACTGGAGAGAAAGGTTTCCAAGTTCATAAAACGAGAGTTTCCCTGGGAACATTGGGATTATCCATCAGTGGGTAGGGCTGAACTGGCCCAGCTCTGTCTGCAAATTGCAAAGCCCCACTGTAAGGAGAAGCAGGCTCAGTTTTAGTCTCTTTCCAAAGTAAAATCATGACAAGAACTATTATTATTGTGCATTTTCTGGTGCTTAAATCTCCCTATACACTATCTCAGTTAATCTTTGTGCCTTTTACCATGAGCGGATATTATTCTCACTTTAAAGATAGGAAAATGGAAGCCTCATGAGATACAGTAAATTACCAAGGCTACACAGGTTTGAGGGGCTTGGATCTTTGAAGAAGTCTATGGAATAGCCTCTTTCTTCCCTTGTTCACCCCTTCTAACTGAGGTGGAGAAAGGCAAGGTAGGTGGCAATGGTGACCAGGGCTTGGAGGCACTACCCCGAACAATGACAGGAAAGAGCAGACCAAAGAAGGGGTACACTTAGTCTTTGTTGAAGAAACACTGCCCCCATAGAGAGAGGCAGAAGGTCCAGTTTCCACTATGGACTCACAAATCATTGACTTTCCATTCCCAGGACAGACAAGGTGGAAGAGAAAAAAAGGGACCAAGAATGATGCACTTATGAAGCTACCTTCACATGCAAGCGAACTTCAGAAGTGTGGCAGAGCCACCCCTTCCTGTAGGTGGGAAATTGTGCAGTATCTCCTATGTGCACAGGAGAAGCAAATTTCCATGGATGAATTACTGTCCACCCTGGCTTCCAGCTGACTCACTATGAGGCAAGATTACACATGACAACTTCACAGGTATCCTAGCTCTTTGTCACATGGGCACAAAAGGGAAAGTCAATGACTACAGGTAAACAACAACCAACATAATTTCTTCTGTATCTAGTGCTCTACCCTCCTGATGCTGTAATGGGCAGTGAGTATGTACATCTCCTCTTGATCCATCAGAACTTCCAATTTCCTGACTAGACACACTGCAGAGGCTAACTAGTCACTTGCTCTAACAATATGGGCCATTTGTACCTCCATGTAACCAGATTGCTCAACCAAGTGTTGAGTCCAACCTTCTTGCCTTGGGTTCTATTTTATTATAAAACTAGCTAATACTGAATGTCATAATAAACACCAAATCTTCAAGATGGAATTTTGAAGTCAGACTAGCCACTCATCTGTGAGAATAAGGGGCTCCATGGCTGGCTGCTAAAAGGGATGATAATCACCGTTGTATGTAACTTCTTATCCATGGTAATGGAGACAGACATGCAGAGGTCAAGATGGAGATCCAGCTGCTGGGGCACGGAAACATCTATCATGATAAGGATTCTAGTATGGAGTTGCTGGTTCTGGGGACCAGATAACTTGCTATAGGAAAATGGCAGGATCAATGAAGCAAATGAGCCAAAGAAGGTAAATGCAGAAAGTCGACCCTCCTGGTGTCACTGGTCTAATTGAGGCCAGTGTACCAGCACCAGAAGGAACACCTGGGAGCTGGTTAAAAATCCAGAATCCCCAAACCAGCCCATACCTAATTTAAGCTCAAATCTTCTAAAGACAGATGATTATATTTGGTGAGAATTTTGCTAGGAGATGATA